AGGTATGCTGCCGGGCCCCCTCCTCTCTCCTGCAACTGTCGGGCTCTCGCTCCATGACCGAGTGCCGGACTTTTCAGAGGGGGTGACACATAAATGACTGTCAGTCATTTTGGTGTCACCCGTCCAATGGTGTCACCCGGGTGCCGGCCACACTCCCCCCTAGCGACGCCACTGCCAAATCACAAAAAGAAGACACACCTGCGCATTCACCAACACAACCGACGTTCAATAAAAGGGATTCTTTTTAATGAAAGCTGCAGATTTGTTTTTTTTTTAAATGAACACGACTTTGGGAATCCCTCCAACAGGTTAACGCTTTTTTTAGTGATTGGGGTTTCCATCTACTGTAATGGAAGCTCCCGCCGCACGCCGCTCTGCGGCCGTTTGTAAAATTGGGTCAGACGAGAAAGATTTTGCTCGTTGCGGCTCATTATGGGGTTAAAATGGCTGACTTGGGTGTGTGGATGTCGGTGGCGTCTCAGTTCTGGGAATAGGGCCAGTAAGCTGAGCCATAAAGTTGGTCAATAGAGGAAACTACAGACAGGAAACATGGAATACAGCAAGCTACATAGAGCCAGATGACTGAGTAACCCCTCCCCCTCCCCCCCTTGTTCCTGTTTATTAATATAGCAATAGCAATTGGAAGGTCCATCCCCCCACCCCAAAAAAAATACTTACCTTGGCCCTGGCCTCCAACATTTCCGGGAGGCATGGGTAGGGCTGCCACCTGTCCAGCATTCACCCGTACAGTCCGGTTTTTGAGTCCCGCGTCCGGGTTTCAGGAAAGCTGACACCCGGGCACTTTCAATTTTTTGACAGGTGTCAGAGAGAGATGGAAGAAGAGATGTGCGGGCCCGAGCCGAAGCTCCGGCAGCCTACTCGTTGCCATTCGCCCCTATTATCATAGTGCTCGAGCGGCATTCGGCTCGGCTATTCTGCTCGGTAAGGATGGCAAGCAGAAAAGAAATAAGTGAAATAAATGAAAAAAAAAAAAAAAATTAAAGGTTAAAAAATATTTTAATAAATGTAAATAAATAGGAAAATGTAAAAAAATAAAGATATTTTTTTAAAAATCTAAAAAAATGGGCGGAGCTAGCGGACAGCTGGCTACCCCCAGCTGTCATTTGCGTGGAGATCGGTCGGCTTCGGCCGACCTTTCTCCACGCTTCGGCTGTCACACCGAAGCGTATGCCTTCGGCTCAGCTGAGCCGCTCGTCCGCCTTCGGCTGCTGCCCGGGCTATTGTGCATACCCGAACCGAGGGGCTTCGGCGGCCGAAGAGAGCCGAAGGATCAGCCGAAGCTACGTCTGGATCCTTCGGCTCCATATTGAATAACCCCGGTAATAAAACTTTATTTATAACAAAAACATATATGTTGTGTCTTTTATTCACGCAAAGGGAATGTTGAGAGATGTCTGAGGGGTGAAGAAGCCTGCAGAGTGTTTATAGAAGGACCCCTGTGGGGGGTTATAAGACGGAGACACAAGATGTGGATCAGGAAATGCGTCAGCTATATGCACATAATGCAGCTTATGATTGGTAGTGAAGAAGAGAAAGACGTTACAGAGCATCCGGAATAAAGATTTAATTGTACAAAAAAAAAGATGAACTATATGTCAGAGACAAGATGGCGTTCTGGTGGTCGGGCTTCTGAATGGAAAGTGCAGCATAGAATGAGATTACATTTGTGTAGAGACCACGACAGACGCGTTTAGAATCAAACTGAAAATGAAAAGAAATCTACAGCGACTTCTCATTCTTCTCTGTCTTCACGGCAATCGAGGAGTCCATTGGAGGAAACCACATGCACAGGATGTAAGAGAATAAAAGGTTATGATACATAGCGGTACCACACTTACCTGCCATCTCCTATGGTATGTCCACAGTCTATGACCATTTACTGTAACATGTCCACAGTCAGTGGCCATCTCCTATGGTATGTCCACAGTCTCTGACCGTCTACTGTAACATGCACACGGTTAATGACTATCTCCTATACTATGTCCACAGTCTCTGACCATCTACTGTATCATGTCCACAGACAGTGACCATCTCCTATGGTATGTTCACAGTCTCTAACCATTTACTGTAACATGTCCACAGTCAGTGACCATCTCCTATGGTATGTCCACAGTCTCTAACCATTTACTGTAACATGTCCACAGTCAGTGACCATCTCCTATGGTATGTCCACAGTCTCTGACCGTCTACTGTAACATGCACACGGTTAATGACTATCTCCTATACTATGTCCACAGTCTCTGACCATCTACTGTATCATGTCCACAGACAGTGACCATCTCCTATGGTATGTTCACAGTCTCTAACCATTTACTGTAACATGTCCACAGTCTCTGACCATCTACTGTATCATGTCTATGGACAGTGGCCATCTCCTATAGTATGTCCACAGTCAGGGCCGGTGCAAGGATTTTTGCCAACTCAGGCGAAGGTGCATTTTGCCCCCCCCCCCCGCCCCCCGGCGCGCGCACACACACTATACACTAATGCAGAATACCAGCAGTTACAGAGGACTACAAATCCCAGCAATAATACATTATACAGGCTGCTTAATATATTATTGCTGGGATTTGGTGTTCATCTATAGCTGTGTTCTGCAGTGTGCGCTTTTTTTTTTAAAAACAGGAAACATTAAAACAGGTCCCCCTTACCTGTTTCTGAACCCTTGTAAGTTGCGTTGGCTCTGCGGGCGTGTGTCCGGCCTGTGTGGTGAGCGCGGCGTAACTCGTGTATGGAGCTGCGAACAGGCAGGCGTGAGAGGCGAGCAGGAAATTAAAATTTTTGACGACAAATCGACCATGAAAAACATTGACAACGTTTACCATCGTCGATTTTAATCGATTAATTGTTGCAGCTCTATATTATTGTTGGGATTTGTAGTCCTCCATAGCTGGTGGTATTCTCCATTGCGCTGTATAATGATTATACGGCACAATGCAGATTACCACTGACCAGTTATAGAGGAACAACAAATCCCAGCAATAATACATTATACAGCGTAATAGAGAATACCAGCAGCTATAGAGGAACAACAAATCCCAACAATAATATAACCAGCCTGTATAATGTATTATTGCTGGGATTTGTTGTTCCTCTATAGCTGCTGGTGTTCAGCATTGTGCCGCTGTACTGTATTATACAATAAACAATACAATACACAATACAATACACAATACAATATACAATACGCAATACAATATACAATACACAATACAATACACTGTATATACAATGCACAATACAATATACTGTATATACAATGCACAATACAATACAAAATAATACAATACAATGCAGCATACCACGTGCACTTTGTCTTTGTTAAATTACATAAACAGTCTCTGGCCATCTACTGTATCATGCCCACAGTCTCTGACCGTCTACTGTAACATGTCTCTGGCAGTCACATTCACTCTCCTGCAGCATGTCCTCAGTGTACAACTACGGGCTTGTTCACACCGGTGCGTTCCAGAGCGCTAGCTGCTGGAACTCACCGCGATCCCTCACAAAACTTCCCCGTGTTCTGGGGCGGGAGGGGACATGACGGTGCATTGAATTCAATGGCACTGCTTCCACGCCCCCCCCCCGCGCAGTGCGATCGGACGCTTGCTCTATTTTTTGCGTTTGCAGTGGAACGGAACACAGGCAAAGTTTTGCCACGTGGGTGGGTGGGGGTAGTGGAAGCAGTGCCATTGAATTCAATGCACCGCCAAGCCCACTCCCGCCCCAGAACGCAGGGGGACGTTTCGTGAGGGATCACGGTGCGTTTCGGCAGCTACCGCCCTGGAACGCGCCGCATTCGGTGTGAACAAGCCCTACTTCTGTAGCATATTTATTGTTTTCGACCATCGCCTTTAGCATGTCCACAGTCTCCGACCATCTACATTGACAAATCTACAGTCTCTGAAAATCTCCAGCAGCATGCGCTTAATCTTAATCCCTTGAAGTATTCTCACATTCTCTGACAGCCTCCTGTAGCCTTAGATATGCTGACTATCATGCGTGGCCCCTTTGGTGACGTCAGAGGTTGCATTTAGGACCCCGTGACATGAGGAACATTGGCCGCCGCCGGTCTATATCCAGCACTAGATCTCAGGGAAAGAATTGACACATTGTGCCCCTTGACTTTTGTACTTTGTGATCTGCGGACGGAACTGAGGGAATGAGAAAAGAGAACGAGAGGAAAGTGTTTGAGCAGAGAAGAAATTGGGGAACACGCCGGACGGTTTCCTGTTTACAGAACACATGTAGTGAATAATCTTCATGTGGGAGAGTGTTGGCAAGCAGGCTGTGATAGGTGGGGGCCGGGGGGAGGGGTAACAGGATCTTCACAAGACTTTGTGCACTCCTTTCACTTTGCATCCCAAAAGCACAAAGGACAGCAGAGCAGAGGAGAGAGCAGAGGAATCCGGGGACAGCAGAGCCCTGTGAGGAGAGCAGAGGAATCCGGGGACAGCAGAGGAGAGGAGAGCAGAGGAATCCGGGGACAGCAGAGGAGAGGAGAGCAGAGGAATCCGGGGAGAGCAGAGGAATCTTGGGACAGCAGGAAGAAGAAGAAGAACAATGCAGGAGCCAAGCAAATATGACAACCCGGGCTTCTACGATGGCTTCCCAGACCAAAGGCAAGACCAGGGCAATCCTCCTCCACCTCCATACTACCCTCAGGCTCCTGGGCCCCCTCCACCAGGGTCATACTACCCTCCGGCTCCTGGGCACCCTCCGCCAGAGTCATACTACCCTACGGCTCCTGGGCCCCCTCAGCCAGAGTCATACTACCCTACAGCTCCTGGGCCCCCTGCACCTGGACCGTACTACCCTACAGCTCCTGCATCGGGACCGTACTACCCTACGGCTCACGGGCCGCCAGCTTCCGCGCCGTACGGCCAGCCGTACTACCCAGGGGCCCCTGTCCCTCAGCAGCCTCTCATCTGCCAGCAGAGCACCAACGTGGTGGTGGTGAACCCCCAGTCGGTCAGAATCATGCCAAGGCACAAAGACTACATGTGCTGGTCCATCATGAATTTTCTGTGCTGCCTTTGGCCCCTGGGGTTAATTGCCATAATCTTCTCCTGCAAGGTAATTAATAGTGGCCCCACGTGGGCTGACTTTTTCTTCTAGTTAAGATTCCTTCGAAAGATCATTAGAAGCTCTTGATTGGCATTAACACACAGTAACAATGTATATCTTGACATCAATGATGTGACCTTGCGCAATTTTGGGTTCATTGGCTATTCGCACTTTGACCGGTAGACCTCCCTGCTGTCCAGTAGACCGTTTCTGCTGACTGTCCCTGCTGTCCAGTAGACCGTTTCTGCTGACTAGTAGACCGTTTCTGCAGACCGATAGACCTTCCTGTTGTCCAGTAGACCGTTTCTGCTGGCTGGTAGACCGTTTATGCTGACCAGTAGACCGTTTTTGCTGGCCGGTAGACCGTTTATGCTGACCGGTAGACCGTTTCTCCTGACCGGTAGACCTCCCGGCTGTCCAATAGACCGTTTCTGCTGACCGGTAGACCTCCCTGCTGTCCAGTAGACCGTTTCTGCTGACTAGTAGACCGTTTCTGCTGACTGGTAGACCTCCCTGCTGTCCAGTAGACCGTTTCTGCTGACCAGTAGACCGTTTCTGCAGACCGATAGACCTTCCTGTTGTCCAGTAGACCGTTTCTGCTGGCTGGTAGACCGTTTATGCTGACCAGTAGACCGTTTTTGCTGGCCGGTAGACCGTTTATGCTGACCGGTAGACCGTTTTTGCTGGCCGGTAGACCGTTTCAGCTGACCGGTAGACTGTCTCTGCTGACCGGTAGACCGTTTCTGCTGCAATCGGTATCGATTGAGTAAGGAGTGTCGCCAACCGGACAGTTTTTGATTCGCCCCAATATTTGCCAACATTTTTAGAAATGCAAACTACTGAACAAAGTCACAAGTTGTCATGACTCGGCTCGATGCGGACCGGACAAACTTGCTCGCTTATATTCAGGCGAATCAAAAAATATTTGGAATATTCGGGGTGAGCTCATTTGTCTGATTTGGCTCTTAAAATCACTTGGAAATACTCTTAACGCCTAAAAAAAATCTCAGGCGGTGACAAAATTTCCAACAAGCTGGGAAATAATTTCGACATCTCCGTCTGTTGCCCAACCTCTGTTGTACCTAGTAAGTGACGTTCTGCTCGCAGTTCATGTAATTTGTGTGAAGCGTTTGTTGCCCCCTGTAGTCAGAATATCGCACAATGGCTCCGCCCTCTCCATGCTGGGGAATGCCAGAATCCCTTTTCCGGGAAAGGGGGTGATTTCTGGTTGGCTTTTGAAAAATG